CCCTGCATACTCCAGGCAGCGCTGGGGGAGCTGGAAGGCTCCCTGCCTTCCTCCCCCGGGCACCCCGCTCACCTGGCGCTCCCTCCTCTTCCTCAGAGGCCCGCAAAACCTCCAGGCTGATGTCAAGCTTCTCCTCCTCCTCGATGGTCCTCATGAGCTCCCGCTTCTCCTCCCCTCTCCGCCTGGGAGCCCTGCGGGTCGCCTGCTCTCTCTTCTCCTCCGCGCCGCCAGCTCTGCAGCAGCTTGTCCGCGTTGTCCGGGATCCCGCCGCGACGGCCGCTGTGGATTTGGGGGCCGGGACTTTCCGGGAACGGCCCGTGGGCTCCGAAGTCCTGCAGCTGGAAGCTGGGGCTTTGCCAGTGGCTGCGGTCGCCCTCGGTTTGGGATCCTCCACGTCGCTGTCATCGCTGAACGTCACCTAGAGCACAGGGATGCGGAGGTGACCCCCTGCCCGCAGAAGGGACGCGGCGCTGGGAAGCTACTGGGATTTTCCAAGCTTTTTCTTTCCCAAGGGAGCAGGGAGGTGGCACGGAGCCACCCTCCAGCCCTGTCCCTCCCCGCTCACCTTCAGGCGGGACTTGGCTCTGCCCTTGGCTCGGGGGGCTTTCGGGAGCTGGCACTTGGCGGGCGAAGGGGAGGAATCGATGAACACCCTGAAGGGAGCCCTGGGGGCCGCGGCCTTGCCGGGGGGACAGGGCTTCTGGTGCGGGGTGCGGGGCAGCGGCCCCGGGCGGATAACGATGGGGGGCACCTCCGCGTCCAGGTCGTCCACGGCAAAGACATCGTACGAGTCCGGGGCAGCCAGGGCCTTCGCCCTCTGGCTCTTCTTCACCCTGGCCTTGGGCCCGGGGGCTGTCACTGACCCCTTCCTGCTGCTGCTCCTCTGGGGCAGAGCCTTGGCCGCCTCGAGCGCCTTGAGGGCGGCTGATCCTTTGGGCTCCACAGGAGTCAGCGGCAGCTGCCAGGACCAGGCGCTGGAGAAGACGTCGGTCACAGAGTCCTTGCGATGGGGGACCAGGGTGCAGATGGTGGCGGTGGCTTTGGCGAGCAGCAGGGTGGCCCTGGAGATCTCCAAGGCGGGCAAGTGAGGCCGCCGGGATTCCAGGAAGGCCAGGCCGGCTTCCACGTGCTCCCGCAGCTTCTCCTGGGCCTGGCAGCTCGCCAGGCCTCGCCGTCCGCCGCCAGCTCGAGCTGGGCGCAGGAGAGCAGCCAGCGCAGGCAGAGAGCCGAGAGGGTCAGGTCGGAGCACAGGGAGCAGGAGCACGCGGAGCGGTGGCCGAGGAAGCCCAGGCGCCTCCTCTGCTTGGGCTTCAGCTCCGGGGACGTGGCGAGAGCCGGCGCGCTCACCGTGGCCACGAACTCCAGCGCGGGGCCCTTCAGGAAGGCGTCCTCTTCCCCGGGAGGCTCCGAGCCCGGACGCCGACAGCCGCCGCCTCCCGGCTCGCCCTTGCGGGGCAGGATCTTCCTTTGGCCGCGCCGCTTCTCGCTGCCCTCGAACTCTGCGGGCCGTGGGGAGAGGAGGGTTATAGCCCCATATCCTTCCCCCACATCCTGATCCGCCACAGCAGCTCCTGCTGTGCTGCCCTTCCCAGGAGCGCTGCCTGCCTGCCCGGAGAAGGGATGAGGGGGAGCTGAGCTGGGATATTCCAGCGCTCTCCATCTTTCTACTCCAAGCTTTTGGAGTCCAGTTACACCTTTATCACCTGGGGAATCATATTTCAGCCCAGTTCTCCTGAGTTTTGTGCCCAGCACCAGGCCTGCTTCCATGCCTGGACAAGGGGAGCCAGGAGGGGGGACTCACCGGTGCTGGATTCCAGGAGGAATTGGGCCTGCTGCAGGTCGCAGCGGCTCAGCTCCGGCTCGCTGCGCTGCAGCTCCAGCTGCGCCTTCAGCACCAGGAAGGCCACACACCTGGGGGGGACAGGGCACTCAGAGCCTCCCCAGGGCCACATCCCCATGCACACAACAAGGAACAACCTGTGTCTAGGCTAAACACACAGAAAACACGTCCTGGGACAGCCTGGAGCAGCTCTTTGCACCCCAAAAAGCAGCCGACCCTTCCACAGGTGCCCTGGGTTTGGGGACACGCCGCTACGGTCACTCACCACCGAGCCGCGTGCAGCTTCATGGCCAGCTTGATGGCCTCCAAGCAGAAGGCTTTGGCTTCGCTCACCATCTCCACCCGGCTGAGCGCAGCCACGAGCTGCTCCGAGCAGGCCAGCAGATCGGTCAGCACTTGCCACTTCTGCAGCAGGTTGTCCCCTGCAGAGTGGGGGGGACACGCAGGTGACCAGGCCTTCCAGAGCAGTAGCTGCTTTTCGGTCCACGAAAGCAAATAAAACTCACCATAATCCACAAACTGGACGTCTGATGCAGTCTTTTGGGAGCCCAGCACGTTGCTGCCCATCACCAGGAGGACGATGCTCCGGAACAACTTGTGGGCTTCGGTGAGAGCCGTCTCGGGCGTCCTCCAGCCTGCGCGAGGGCAGCCGGGGACGTCAGCGCTCTGCCCGGCACCGGACCGACCAGGGGGACCTCAGAGCCAGACAGGCTCCAGCTCCCCTCCCCCTGCCCCCACAAGCCCAAAAAGGGGCTTGTTTTGAGGCCGTTTGGAGAAAACGAGGGTGTGAACCTCTCACAGAGCTTTGCTCACAACCCCTGCGGCTTTTCCATTGCCCTGGAACTCACCGCAGGGCTTGGAAACAGCCACCCGGTCCCCAGCGACGCACCCAGAGCGGAGAGCTGCTCCCGGAGCTCCGGCAGGAGACGGGCAGGAGGGAGGCTCAGGTAGGCGGCTGTCAGCTGCAGCACGTGGGCTCGCAGCAGGTACCAGACCTTGGAGGCCTTCTGCAGAGCTGGGTTCTGCAGCACGGCCAGCAGCAGGGCAAGGCCTTCTCCAACCTGGATGCAGCAGCAGAAATCAAGGGGAGGAGGAAAAACGCCACCATTCAGGGTCCAGGAGGTTTCTACATCTCTCAGGGGCAAACAGTTGCCAGCAAGAGGTCCTGAGGCCTGCCAGGGAGCTGCCCAGCTCTGCTCCTGCTCCCCAGCTCCCCCATCGCAGGGGGAAAAGGGGTTTAGGGCAGCCCCAAGCAGCAAGGCCGCCCCAGGGGAGAAGCCCTGGTACCTGGTGGCTGGTGCAGCAGAGCTGGCTGCGGAGCAGGAGACACGTTTGCTTCAACAGCAGGTAGGAATCGCTGCTGGTGTCAGCCTCCCGCAGGCAGGACTCCGTCTCCTCCAGGAAAAGCTGGAAGGAATCGCGACAGGTTGAGGACCGCGGCCTCGGCCGAGGTCGCCCGGCTCGGTCCGGCCGTCCTGCGCTTGCCTTGGCGTAGCTGGGACACTCCAGCTGGAAGAGCAGCTTGGTGACTTGGCACAAGGCGCCGGCCGTGCCCAGGCTGTCTCCAAGGGCACTGCACAGGGATCTGAGCAGGAGGCAGCTCTCCAGGGCCTGCAGGGGCTGAGGGCAGGACACGGTCACGCTGGGAAGCCATCCCAGAGGGAAGCTCAGCGCCTGCTCCCGTCCGCGGTACCTTGGACATCAGTTTGTAGAGAGCTGCCACGATGCGCAGGGAGGCCACGGTCTGCTCCGGGCTGCGCACGCCGGGAACGCCCTTCTTCTCCAGGAGCTGCTTCCACAGGGCGAAGGCATCGTCCAGGCTCCGGGACTGAGCTAAGGACACGTCGCAGCTTTGAGCAAAGCAGCCAGGGAGGGGAGGCACCTCCAGCAAAGCCTCTGCCCCTCAGGAATGCGTTTCCCTGCTCTCCCACAGAGCAGGGCTGCAGAGGAGCATCTCCCAAACGTGTCCTTCCCTCCCAGCATCAACCCCAGGGCTGCTCCTTCCTCGGGCGCAGGAGCCTCACTGGCCAAAGGGGCCTTTTCCACGACACAAGGGGCTTCAAACCCGCCACCTTCTCACCGGACTCCGCGGCCAGGTTGAAGACGATGCCGTCGTACAGGAACTTGTCCTCCTGCAGCTTGTCTTCGTAGTTGAGGTCGTTGGGCTCAAAGTCGTCCAGGTTCTTCTGCACCTGAGCTCTGGCTCTCTGCTCCCTCTCCATGCTCTGCAGCCGGTTGGGAGGCAGCAGCAGCAAACATTAGGAGACACAGGCAGTGCTACCAGCCCTTGGGGCCCTGCTGGGGCTCTGGGAAGGCTCTTGGTGGCCTTGGCAAAGGGACGAGCAGGGAAGAGCTGATGAGGGCACTTCCCACGCCAGGAGGCACCAGGCTCTCCCACAGTAGCTGGGCACAACTGGGAGCTCTGGAAGCACAAGGGATCCAGGCGAGCAGGGAGCTCTTCTCCATCCTAACTCTTGAGTTTGGAACTCAGTGCATTAGGCAGGTGCATGGAGAAGCTCCGGGGGCCTGGGACCACCGCAGTTTTTCCAGGTCTGCAAAAGCAGCCTCCGTCAGCCTCACCTACCTCCTTCAGCTTGGCCTCCAGGGTGCAGATGTAGAGCCAGAGCAAGGCCTGCGCCTGCTCATCGAGGAGCTCATCCCGGTTCTGTGCAGTCCTGGGCACGGACTCCAGCAGCCGCAAGGCCTCTTGGATCGAGTCCAGGGCGGAGCTGCCAGAGAGAGCGATCACAAACATCCTTCCACACCCAAAACTGACCCCCAAACCTTTCAAGTCCCCTAAGGAGCCTCTCAAAGGCCCTTTCAGGGCTCCCAGGGCCACAGGACAGAGCCGGCACGAGCAGGGCCACCCACCAGTCAGTGTGGGCCGCGTAGTCGTGATAACACAAGATCTGGGCCAGCTCCACCAAGGCGGTGGCGCGCTCGTGCACGCGGCCGCTGTCCTCGGAGCAGAGCTCGAGCAGGTCGCAGACGACGCTGTAGCGCTCCCGGCCCGTGCTGGCCCGCACGCCCTTGTAGGCCTTGAGCTCCTCGAAGAGCAAGGCCACCAAGGTCCCCGTGTCCAGGCCGCGTCCCTTCAGGGCGTCCTTCAGCGTCCTGGGGAAACGGGGGCCGTTCGGGTGGGGGCTCCGCGCAGAGCCGGCCTTGCTCCGTGCCGAGCGCGGGCCTCGCGTTACCACAAGCCGATCTCCGGGGCGCCCTTCTTGGCGGCGTCTGCCTTGACTCGGGTCCAGAGAGACACGGGCTCCACCATCTGCTCCCGCACCCTGTCCCGCAGGGCCACCAACCACTGCACGACGGCCGCCAGGGCCTCCTCGAACCGGCCCTGCTTCCAGCAGCTCTCCACGTGCAGCCTGAAGCACCGGTGCAGCTGCGGGGAGAGCGCGAGCGGGGCGGTGGGGCTGCCTGCAGCCCCCCGGCACGGCCCGGCCCGCGCTGCCCTCCCTCAACCCACCTTTTCCGGAGGGATCTCCGGGTACTGGGAGCCATCCGCGCTCTCCAGCCTCTTGCAGAAGAGCGTGGAGAGGGAGGCCACCTCCTCGTGAAGGTTCTGGCTGTAGAAGATGTAGGCCAGCTTAAACGTGCACGACGCTGCCACAGAGAAAGGAAACCGGGTGCTGAAGGTGCTCTGGAAAGAGGGCGTCACCGTCCTCCCTCTCCCAGCAGGATTCAGTAGCCCCTTCCGGAGCCCGGCAAGCCCCGGGCGCTTCGCAGCGAGGAAGCTGACGCTCCCCGAGCTCCAGCAGCCCGAGGAGAGGCAGATCCGGAGCTGCTGCCCCTCAAACCCGTCAGTTCTGGCCAGGGGCTGCCCTGGGGCCACTGACCAGTGATTTCGAGGGACTCTGCTTGCTTGCCCGAGGGCAGCCCCTCCAGCGCCGCCAGCATCCACTCCACGACGCACCGGCACGTCCCCAGCAGCTGCTCCAGGCCACCCCAGCCCTTTGCCTGCACAACGGGCACAGTTGGAGGGAGAGCAACTCGGAGCAGGGATCATCTCCCAGGAAAGTTCCCTCCAAGGGGCTTTGGGGCTCGGCCAGGCTGCCAAAAGCGCCGGGGAAGCCAGTTTGTCACCCCGGAACAGGGAGGCTTCCCAGCGTTGTGCTCGTGGCCCTGCCTTGGGGACCATCCCCTCCACCCCTGGTACCTGGGAGCACTGGAAGGTGCTGTAGGCCACGTTGGTGAAGAGCTGGAGGCTGTAGTAGAGCAGCTGCTTCACCCTTAGCTGCTCCTTGCTGCTGTCGAGAGGAATCTGCAGAGAGGAGGAAAGAAAAAACAGCGTCTTCATAGTCCTGACAGCAGCAGGTACCAACAGCGGGTGCCAGAAAGGACAGAGGTGACGATCGGGGACATCTAGAGCGCAGTCACCATCCAGCCCAGCGCTCACAGAGGCTCCGGCTGAGGGGACAGCCCGGCCTTACCTCCTGCAGCAGCCTGTGGATGATGCCGCAGTACCCCTCCACGAAGGGGCAGAGGCTGGAAAGGAATTCCCGAGGAAAGGGCTCCCTCTCGCTGCTCTCGGCGTGGCGG